TGTCTCCCTCTCTCTCTCTGCCCCTTCCCCGCTCATGCTCTCTCAAAAATAAACATCAAAAAAAAAATTTTTTTTAAATCGACTTTTCTTGGCCCAATACATTTTTATATCAATTTTAGAATTAGCTTGTTAATGCCCCCACCCTCACCCTATACTTCCCACCCCACACCCTCTCTCTAAAACAAAAACAAAACGAACAAAAAAACCACTATGGAAATGGTCAGAGGGCCAAAAGGAAAACCAGTAGAGACTGGGATCCTGGAAGGCACAGAAGTATCAGCTGCTACAGACAGGCCAGGTGGAACAAGAATGAAAAGGGGCTTTTGGAATTGGGGAAGTCTATTAATCCTGGGCAGTTTTACCAAAGAAGCAAGAGAAGGTACAATGCAGTGGCAGGTTTTAGGCAGCCGGACAGGAACAACGAGAACATGGAACCTCAGCAGGAGAAAGCCTTGGTTACAAGCCCAACGAATTCAGAGACTGAACTTTTAAAAGTCCATGTCTCTAATTTTTTTTTCAATGTTTATTTATTTGTTGAGAGAGAGAGCGCGTGCACACTAGCACAAGAGGGGCAGAGAGGGAAAGAGAGAATCCCAAGCAGGCTCCACGCTGTCAACTCAGAGCCCAACACAGGGCTTGATCTCATGAACCATGAGATCATGACTTAGGCTGAAACCAAGAGTCGGGACACTTAACCAACTGAGCCACCCAGGTGTCCCAGTCTTGTATTTTTTTCTACTGCCCTAACTCTTCATAAAAATTCCCCTGTCTTATTGAATAAGTTTCTGGAGCTGGTAGAAGACATTTGCTTGGAAAGCTTAAATGCTAAGAAGCTTCAATCTATATTTCAAGTATTAAATGACTGAGCCACTACCAACAATTTCTAAACACACACCCACACATACACACAGACCACAAAGATATTTCATTTCAGAGCTTACGCATTTTCCCAAAAGGTTTTCCAAAAGACATTCATCCTACGCAGTAATTAAAACAAAATTACAGCCATAGTATAACCTGAATGAAGATGCCTTTTCATTAACGAGAAGTGATGCTTGGAAAGCCTGCCAAACATGTCCCAAAAAGATATGTAAAAGCAATTCTATGAATGTTGACTGATGATGTTGGGCTTAAAAATGTAATTTGATCAAGTTGTTAGCTGTCTCTACAAAATTAACTACACAAGAAGGCTAAGCTCCCTAATTTATTAAACATAATAAATTATGTGCACCAGCAGCCTCTAGTAGATGCAGTTAAACATTTACTTTCATTCTTTAAAAACCCCACATGACTTAAAACAGATTTGGTTCTGCAGAAGTAGAGAATAAAATTTTCCTAATTCTGTTTCAACACTAAGGCAAAGAAACACATTTTTGGGGAACCCTGGCCATGACTGAGGAGATACCCTCCACCAACTTCAGGCATCAGGCACCAATTCAAGAACAAGGAGACACTGTTCCTCACCTGTATCCTCTTCCTCCAGACCAGCATGATCTATTTCAACTTGTACCTCTGCTCCTCCAAGGATGGCCTGGAGACGTTTTTGTTTTGCCGTGATCTTCTTTAACTGTTGTTCCTTAAATGGTAAATATTGAATACAGAAAACAGAAATGATTTATTGCTAAATACCAAAGATAAATGTAAAAACCTTAATCAAGAGCAAAATAAAACAGAAATTCCGTATGTTACTATTATTAGATAGAACCTCATTTGAGCTACTGCCACTTTTCTAGCAGGAAGCAGGCCTCCAAGCATTTCCATCAGGCAGGCATCCCCGTCTGTACCCCCTCTCTTGGCTGGGCAGCACAGCTGTCTATGTTCACATGCACTGGCTCTCCACTGACTTGGGAGGTGGAGCTGCTCTACTCGGTTTTCCCCCATTACACACAGGGCAAATTATTAAGCTTTTGTTTCTGACCTTACCAACCAACGGGCTATGAGGTCAATAATATTCTCTGGAATAAGAAACATATACACAAACGTTCAAACACTTGAAACAGTCAGCCCCCTTTGATAATCTACCATATTTATGATTGTCCTTTATAGTATTCTACCCAATCACAAGATTTTAAAAGGAACATAGGGACGCCTGGGTGGCTCAGTCAGTTGAGCCTCTGACTTTTGATTTTGGCCTGAGTCATGATCTTGCGGTTCATGGGATTGAGCCCCATGTCAGTCTCTGCAAGGACAGCTCAGAGACTGCTTGGGATTCTCTCTCACTGCCCCTCCCCCGCTCATGCATGTACTCTCTCTCTCTCAAAATAAACATTTAAAAAAAAAAAAAAAAGGAATACACATTTTGATATACCCTTTTACCCTCCCACCCATGACACCTCTTTGTCTTTTCTCCCTCTACACCACCAGAGCTCAGCTATGCAGCCATTCTTAGGGCCTCTCCAATTAATTAGGCCTAAGGTACCTGGTTCTTCTCAAGGTCAATGTTTAAACACCAAATATGAGTATAGGACAAGGAGAAACACTGGATATAAATGCCATGTTACACTAAACTGCATTTCATTTTCTTTTAGTCTTTCCCTCATTTAATCTCATTTAAACAGATTTTAGGTTAAATCTCATTTAAAAATGAGGAAATCTCATTTCTCAGGGTACCTGGCTTGCCCAGTCAGTTGAGTGTCCAACTCTTGATTTTGGCTCAGGTCATGATCCCAGGGTCATGGGACAGAGCCTTGCGTTGGGCTCCATGTGAGCGTGGAGCCTGCTTAAGATTCTCCCTCTCTCTCTCTCTCCCTCTGCCCATCTCCCCAGCTCTCTCTCTCTAAACACACACACACACACACACACACACACACACAAGATAGCCATTCTCAAAAAACAAAACAAAACAAACAGCCTTTCTCTCTGAATAGTCTAACCATCAAAGGACTACTTTAGAAAGATAGGAATATACAGTTGAGTTACACTAGTACCTAAAATGGCCCAACATTTGGTCCTCACTGCTCCTTGAAACCTCAGCTCACCAGAAGCCCAAGATTAGAGGTCTCTGCACATTAATTTGCATATTCCAACAAGAGGCCAGATGTCCCCAAAGCGGAGACCCTGGCTACCTGAAACCACTGCGAGCTCTGAACTTTGGGCTGCTATTCTGGTGAGAGAAGATGGGGTGGTGAAGATAATGGACTGGTGAGCAGAAAGCAGGAGGAACCGAGTCTATATGCGTCCACTAGTGGAGCTTAAATAAGATATGTAAGAACTTTACTCACTGCAGTGGGTCAACTGCAAGCACAAAAATATCTGCTAGTCATTTTGGATGACATTTTGGATCAAATGATCAAAACTAGTCATTCCTATCTACTCCAATATATTTTCATAAAACACAAGTAAATACTAAAAGCTGTTTCAAACCCCATAAAAACAATGTCATAATCTCAGATCTTCCCTTGCCTGAAGTTGTACAACCCTCAATGCAGACCCATCAGTGTGGCTGGGTGATGACTGCAATACCTAATGCTGGCCTCTCAGAACAGTGAGCATGAGTGTGAGAGAGGTATGGCTATACCAACAGGAAACACAGCATACACAATCAGTACAAGCAGGAGCTAAGCAGAAGAAAAAAAGGAAATTCACACCACACAAAGAGACTGGATGAGAGGCCAGCATGCCAAACGGGAGCCTAAGCTGGGTAAAAGAAAGTGGCAAAGCAAGGAAGACCATAATCCTAAACATGAATAAGGCAGCACGCAACGCCAAGAAGGGAACACTTTCTCAAACATGTGTGAATGTGTATTTTTTTTTCAACATTTATTTATTTTTCGGGACAGAGAGAGACAGAGCATGAACGGGGGAGGGGCAGAGAGAGAGGGAGACACAGAATCGGAAACAGGCTCCAGGCTCTGAGCCATCAGCCCAGAGCCCGACGCGGGGCTCGAACTCACGGACCGCGAGATCGTGACCTGGCTGAAGTCGGACGCTTAACCGACTGCGCCACCCAGGCGCCCCATGAATGTGTATTTTTAAAAATATTTTTTTAATGTTTATTTATTTATTTTGAGAGAGAAAAAAAAAGAGAGATCATGCAGGAGGGGCAGAGAGAGAATCCCAAGCAAGCTCCAAGCTCTCAGTGCAGAGCCCAACACGGGGCTCAATCCCGCAAGCCACCAGATCATGACCTGAGCCCAAATCAAGAGTCGGACACTTAATCAGCTTAAGCCACCCAGGTACCCCTAAAAAATATTCTTTAACAGGAGATATTAAAGGGAAACAGCTGAAAAATTAAACATACAAAAGGAATTCAAAATTTTTTATTATAGACACATGCTTCACATATTTTAACTACTTTTCGAATACTTCCTAAATATTAAATGAACAGAAATGATTACTTTTTCAAAAATGCAATACTTAAATGTGTTATTTGGATTCACCTTATTATACTTCTGTCGTTTTACAGAATCTAGTTTCCTGTTGACGTCTCTGTTGGTGGCAGCTTGAGGGCTAAGTTGTTCAATAATTTTATTGATTTGCCTTAGGGATGTCCTACATGACCTGAAAAATAAGATACAGTGTCTATTTTCCACTCTGGTAACATTTTTTTTAATAGTGTAAGATGACAGAAATGCTAAAACAATGTCCTTTTACTTGTTAACTAAAAGATAAAAGAAACTAAACCAGAATCCATATTCTTTTTGGCCACATATTGAATTTGAAGGGCTATTAGAAGGTAAGATAACTGCTAAGCGTTTTCTTTGATCTGGCTGATTTAAACCAGCACATTCCCATCTGTAAGCTGTTTCATTCATTCTACAAGCATTTTAAGGGTCTACTCTATTCAAGAGACTGTGCTAAAACAGTGTGCAGTAAGTTACCCTGTTAGACGAAAAAATGCGTATGCGTGGTTTGGTTTTTTTTTTTTTTAAGATTTTATTTTTTTTAGAACACTTTTAGGTTCACAGCAAAACTGAAAGGAAGGTACAGAGACTCCCATATACTTCTTGCCCCAAACACACACACCCTCTCCCATTATCAACAAGCCATACATGGGTTTTTAAAGTCCCATTATGGAAGTCACCCAAAGTTTGGGAAAGAACTAGAAATGCTTATACATTTTCTTATACAAGTCAGGTATCTGTGACAATTATTTTTCTTTCACAATATTGGAAGACTTACTTGCTGTAGCATTATATTTTACAGTGTGAAGGGGGAAAAAATCAACCTATGTTACGCTGCTCCTAAAACACACACCACAGAATGGTAAACTCCCAATTTTCAAAACACAAATTCAATCTTGACACTTAGGTAATTTGCTGTTTGTAACCTTTGTGGATTTCAGGATAAAAGATGTTATCAATGCAAGTTACTGGCAGTCTAACCACGTGTCACCATCGCTCTGTTAACCTGTGTTGTAATTCTGCAGCACTCCGCCGTCACCTATGCAAGCAGTAGGTCAAATGTAAAGGTGTGTTCATTATAAGGAGTCGAGCTCCTCACACCTGGAGGTCAGAGTACAAGTAATCCAGAATGCCTGCTACTCAAGAGGCCAAAAGAACACACCAAGAAGCTGCTGGCAGAAAACGTCCTTTAAGTTCCCACAGCATCTGTACCTCAGCCTCCCCCACTGAGGGCAGCCAACAGTCCCACCTCTCCCCTCCCCAGCCACCCACATCCAAAACTGCACCATCCCTCCACCCATTCCTCTCCTCCTTCCTGCTTGCCTGACACAGCCTAGAAAACTGGTCATGACAGGGCAAACTGGCAATGGGGAGGAAGTTCAATCTTCCACCTGCCCCACCTTTTAGCCCAGGTCCAGGGCCTGTTTCTCCTCTAAAACACAAATGAAGTCTCCACAGGACATCATTTTTCCTACAGAGTCACAAGTAGGACAGAAGAAAGGAAAAACAAGGAGTTGTTTCTCATTATTTCTAGAAATACAAATCTGAAAAATTACCAAAAGACTGTCACTTGGTTTAGACACAGGAAACTGGAAAGAAACTATAGGACAAGAGAAAAATGTGAGGGGGAGGTGGGTGTGTTCCTGGTGTCTTGAGTAGGACACATCACACCTTTAGGTACACTTCTCCTGAGAACCATTTTGTGCACATGCTTGTGAGTTTTGGGGCACTCGGAACAGTACTTCTCTCTAGGACGTTATGCATACACAGGCTATTGTTGGCTGGACTGGGACCCTAACTACCATGTTCAGTGCTGCTCCTGAGGGAAAGGGCTAGGGTTCACACACAAGGCCAAAGACTGCCCTAATTGACCTCATCTTTCAAATTAGAGGTTCTATCAATTTCCTAAATTTCTGGAATACTACAGCTATCATCTGAATTTCTCTGTCACATGTAAACACAAATTCTGCAATCAGAGAAGACGGTCCACACTCACGTGAGGTCATCCAGGACTGAGCGATACTCTTTCTCTGCATCAGCAAGTTGGGCCGCACGGCTGGCCTCATGAATGGCGCTGTCCACCTGCCGAAGCACACCCTGTTCCAGCACGTCCTGGTCATACACATCCACACCCAACCCCTGCAGTTCAAGAGCCTGCGCACTCAGCTCCACCGTCTGTATCTGATGTCTGTCGATGTGCAGCAGGGCTGGCCCTCTCCTCAGAACTTCTGATGAACAGCCCTCGGCAGAAGTGGATGGTCCGCTGGCAGAGGAACAAGAGGGGAGGCTTTCCTCCACCTCTGCATTGCCGTCATTTTCTCGTTTTATTGTCATTTCTTGTTTATCACTGACACACTGACTTTGTAAACAGTCTTGCTCCTGAGCTTGGCTTGAGTGGGGGATTCTTGCATTTTGCATCCTCTACAGACTATCTAAAAGGAAAAAAAAAAAAAAAAGGTATGTAATAAGCTTTTTGGTTATAAAGAGTTGATATTTATATAGTTTCTTAAAAATCTTATAATTAAAGGGGGCGCCTGGGTGGCTCAGTTGGTTGAGTGTCCGACTTTGGCTCAGCTCATGATCTCACGGTTTGTGGGTTCAAGTCCCATGTCGCGATCTGTGCTAACAGCTCAGAGCCTGAAGCCTGCTGCGGATTCTGTGTCTCCCTCTATCTGCCCCTCCCCTGCTCACACTCTGTCTCTCTCTCAAAAATAAACATTTAAAAGGAAAATTTAAAAAAAAATGTACAATTAAAGAAGCCTGATTTCTCAAAAGAGCAAATAATAATCCTCCAATTAGGTATATTCAAGTTCCAAATACTATTTTTCTTAAAAGGGTACAAGCTATACATATTCTTGAGATTTGATAATAAATAAGAAAAAATTAGCCAAAAAAGAAGAAGAAGAAGACAACGACGACGACAACGGCGACAAACCAGTAGGAAAAAATGCAGTAGCAGCAACAAAACACATTTGGAGAACCAGCCAATAAAGCTGGCAACCAAAATCTTGACTGACACCCTGAGTGTCTTCTCCAAATCAACTGAAGTCATTGACTGCTGCTTTCCAAGTTAGCATTTTCACTGCATTATGGCACAAAAGATTCTCAATACAGTGGCTTGATTAACTGTGATATGCAAATTTAGTGAAGTAAGGAACAAGCTTCTCTATGACTCTGACACTAGAAATTTTTAGGCTAAACATTTACTCTAATAAACACAAACTACAAACAAGACATAAGAGCACCACTCAAATCTGAATCTGAGAAAGATTAAATACTCTCAAAAATAACCCCATTTCAATGTGCAATACAATTTGCTGCAAATCAGGTTGGCAAAAACAGTTTGGGCCTGATAATAATCCAGTACAGATGAGGAAAATCCACCCTCACACAATGCTGGTAGGGATATACTAAAGCTCTTCTGGAAAGCAATTTAACGGTATCTATTAAATGCATTAGATTTAAAATGCACATGACCAGGTATTTATTCCAGAGAAGTACTCACATGTATATAAGGATGTGTATTGTAGCATGTCAATAATTTAATACAAGCATTAAGTATTTTCGGTGACAAGGATATAAAAGTCTTGTAAAGTGAAAAAAAATTCCCCTAGGACGAACACATTTATGTTGGTTAAAAAAATGTGTATCTGTATGTGTGTGTATGGAATGCATCCAAAGTGATCTGGAGATACATATTAAACTATTGGGGAAGGGGAAGCAGAAGGAATAGGGAGGAATAAAAGAAGCTGTTATATTTCACTCCACATACTCAGGAACTCCTTGAATGAAAATGTATTCACCATATTGACTGCGTAACTATCTAATAAATACATCAAAAAAACAATCCAATAACCAACAGCCTTGCTTTTTATTTAACTGTGAATAAAGGAAGGTATCTTTCACCACTGAAATTTTATTCATATGAAATGACCAGAAGATCTCCCAGTAAGCCCCACTGATTTCTCATTAAATAAAACCATTCCAGTGGCCAAACACTAGGATACAAAGATGCCAGGAACTTAGCACCATCCCCTCCAGAGTAGCTCACTTTCTAGGGGAGGAGAAACATGTCAACAACATGGGCAGGTCTGCAGAAGAGCCACCAACAAGAGGCCACCTGGATACAGAGGAAGGGACAATCCATTGGGTCTGGAACTAAAAACAAAAACAAAAACAAACAAACAAACAAAAAACCAAACATATACAAGCTAAAATTTGAACACCTGGCCCAAAGTTTGATACACAGAACATACTCCATATGTGCTGAATGGAAGTAAGGTTCAGAGAAGAGTCTAAAATAACAAGTCCAATGTGACAACTGAGTCACTGGTGAATTCAGTCATAAAAATGAGAATCTCAGAAAGAAAGCAGATGAGAAGAAGAAGGAGGGGCTGGTAGAGAGCTTATAAGCCACAGGTAACATGTCCAGCACGCAGTCAGAAATGCAAATCTTGGCTCAAGAGAAAGGTCTAAAGGAGATGTGGATGTATCAGCGGAGCAAACAGCCCAAAGAATCCTAAGACTATGACAGGTACCAGAAATCCTTTCAGAGGGTAAGACGCTAACACTGCAAAGGTTAAAAGTGAACAGCAGAGTAAAAAGTTCTTCCTTTTTTATGCCTTCTGATTATTTTCAGAAGAAAGGATCAACTTGGTGCTCTATCATTAGCTAGCCTGCATTTTCAACACAGAGGGCAGGATCCTGGCTCAGGGCCTTCATACTGGCTGGAATTAATAATTCCGTTGTCACTGTTCTTATTTGTACATATACAAACATTCCTTTTTTAGTTTAAAAAAAAGACATTAATTCAATCACAAATCTTAATAATACTGTAGTACAAAAACAAAATTAAAATTACGATGTTTGGAAAAAACTTCTAATAATAGAAAAGAAGATGGTTAAAAATGGGAAACAATATGGCAAGTTCATGTAAGGAAGCCAGAAGGGATTTGGAAATTAGGTCACTAATTATCTTAGTAAAATAAGTGTCAGTGGAGCAATGGGGACGAAAACCAGACTGCAGTGAGTTAGGTGAGTAGATCAAGAAATGGAGGCCACAAGTGGGTAACCTACCCCCCCTAAGGAACCTGGCTGTGGAAGGGAGACAGCTGGAATGACAAAGTAATAATGGGTTGGGGGAGGGAAATTAAGTCAAGAAAAACTATAGAATGCAATAAGGGGCAAGGAGCTGTATAGGGAGACAACCTACAGAGAAGGTTGTACAGGAGACAGTAGCAGGGAAAGACCAAGTATAGATGTAAACAGAAGAAACATCTTTCTCCAACTCTGGCAGAAGAATGATCTTAATGTATCTAAATCCGTAAGTGCAGAAGAGGAAAGCTGAGGTGGACCACAGAGAAAAAATCCTGCAAGGCAGGAAGTTTGGGCATCTCCTGAGCCAAAGGACAAAGTTGGGACGGAGGCTGGAGAAGAATAAAAATCTGGAATAAATGTCCTATAGAAGAGAAAAGCTGATGGGGAACAAACACTGGTGATGGGTGTGGAGGGCCCCCCAAAACAATCCCCAAGGCTGTACAATTTCCTCCTTCAGTAATTAACATAACAGTCCCAGGGGAAATGTCACTGTTGGGGGTTTTCTGAGCAGAAGTAGCAGAGGACAAAAGGGCATGGATACAGATGCTGAGGAGGAGACTAGTTCAAGTAATTGAACTTGGGGTCCAAGCTGGGGGGGGGGGGGGGGGGGGGGGGGGGGGGGGGGAGGCCGGAAGGGACTGGAATAGGAAGACAGGGAAGGAGAGAGGAAGACATCAAAAAGCCACTTGAAGAATGACTGTGGACCAAAGGGCAAGCTGGGAATGAGAGCTGAACCCAGGAGGTTCTCATCAGAAGATAAAGGGTTTCAGAAGTGAAATAAATCATCCATTCAACAATTTCAATTATGCCAGGCAACATACTAGGTTAACTAGTTTCTGTCCCCATAGACTTTAGAGTCTCTTGGGGAAAACATACATTTTAAGAATTATACACACGTATACATATTTGCACATACAAAATCTATGCTCATATATAAATTATATACACAAATGTAGTTATAGTAACTGTTATAAACAAACAGGATTTTTCAGGACAAAATAACAGAGGAACCTAATTGACAGGGCAGAGGTAGGTGTGAGAAGGGAGGCTGATAAAGTGATACTCGGGCCAGTCTCTGAAGGATGAACAGGATTAATCAGGCCAAAAGTGGAGTGAACATCTTGCAAAGAAATGTGTAATTTCTAAGGCTGATGAGCTGGGGCATTTGGGAAAATGAAAGAAAGGTGGAACACAGTGAAACTTTTTTACTTTATCCTACATGAGTAACTGAGTTAAAGTTGCTGATAAGGACTCCATTCCTTGTGTAAATCTTACAGAATATCTTCTAACACTCTGCAACCCTTAATCATCTTGGAATAACGGTATCTTCATTATCCTCCCCTTTGAGCACTGGGGCTTCTGTGGGAAGAGCTGAATTGTGGTATGCATATTTTATTGTAACCATGCCTAACTGGGGATGGAGTGGGGCATAAGGGAAGATGGAGGAGTTGGCTGGGTCACAAAGGACCTGGGAAAACATTAACTTGGATTTTATTCCAAGAGCAATGGAATGATTTGTAAGGGTTTTAAACAGGGTGATGATGGTTATGACCTATTTCACGTTTGTAAGAGACCACCTGGGCTACTGTATGGATAATGGATTAGAAGAAACAGTACAAGGAGATGATGGGAGACACACGGGTGAAAAGTGACGGCAGCTTGGAAAAGGATGACAGCTATGACGATGGATGCTACGTGGGAAACCAATGTAACAGTATTTATATGTGGACGGCTCAATCCTCCTCCACATACTCCCACTTGACTATGTCAATGCCCAAAGCGCCTGACTTGAATTTACCCCGATCCTCTCTTTCAAGTAACAAACTCCAAACAGGGCCGCGCTGACCCTACGCGCCGGAGCCCACACAAAGCTCAGAAGTGATGTTCCGTGGCTGGTCGGCTAGCCTGCGGCCCCAAGGTTGCTACCTCCCGCCGCCCCAGGTGGCCGCGCGCTACTTCGTCAGTTCCGGCCGCAGGTGCGCCGGCACGGAAGGCGCGCGTCAGGCCCGAGGGCCAGCTCCCGGCCGCCCCCGCGGATGGGATCCTTCAAGGCGGCCAGATGGCCGAGGCGAGGCCGTGGGTGCCTGGGAGTCCGAGCAGGGCCCAAACATCCCCTGCCCGACATTTAGCCCGGCCATCCGAACACTCACCCCAGGGCCGCGCGGCCACCCGTACGGAAACGTAGACGCCTCCACCGCCACCAGCCGTGGAAATTAGACTGGGGCCAACTGCTGCGCATGCGTCTTCAGTCCGCCGTAAGCACCGCCCCCAAGCGTGACCCGACGAGCGTGCGAGGGTGGGGCCTACTGTGCATGCGCCAG